GTGCTGTTCCAGGAACTGGGGACAAAATGATGAATAGTGAGGTAATCAACAAGTCAACAAAGATAACTTTGGGTGGTATTGCAAAGGAGTGTCATTGTCATAGCAAGTTGGTTGGGCTGGTTGGGAAGGCTGGTCAGGGGAAGGGGGAGCGGCAGGCACTGAGGTTAGAGAGATGGGCGGGGCAGGCTCATGCAGGACATCCTAAGCCACAGCAAGCATGGGCAGGTAGCAGAGTTGTAAAGAGCCAGCTTTTAAACACAGTGCTTTTTTAAAAAAAGGGGCCCTCCATAGGGAATACCTTTTTGGAGGCCCACCGAGAGAAGGGCCTTTTTAATATTTCATCTTCTTAGAATGCATCCTGTTTGTAATTGGAACAAAGGGGCCCGTGGGCCTTAGCCGGCAGCTTGGGTTTTATGCCAAGTGAAATGGGGAGCCAATGGAAAGTGTGAGGTCAGGCATTGAGGATATTTGGCTTATCTCTTTTTATATCTATAATAATAAAAGGGTAATACGCTAATTAGACCGGACATCATTCCGGACGTCCTTCTGGACGAAAGCCAGGGCCGGAGAGAAGCACAGGTCCCGGGTGCCAGAGGGAAGGTGGTGCCGGCAGCTGGGGGAAGGAACGCCTACTCTTTCTCTCTCTATTGATTTGAGAGAGGAAGTGAGAGGGAGAGAGAGATAGAAACATCAATGATGAGAGAGAATCATTGATTGGCTGCCTCCTACACACCCCCCTACTGGGGATCGAGCCTGCAACCTGGGCATGTGCCCTTGGCCAGAATCAAACCTTTGACTCTGTCCATAGTAGGCCAACACCCTATCCACTGAGCCAAACCAGCTAAGGCAGGAAGGCCTACTCTTGCATGAATTTTGTGCATCGGGCCTCTAGTATATATATTGATTTCAGAGAAGAAGGAAGAGGGAGAGAGATAGAAACATCAATGATGAGAGAAGACACATTGACTGGTTGCCTCCTGCATGCACCCTGACCAGGGCTGGGGGTCAAGCCTGCAACCGAGGTACGTGCCTTTGACTGGAATCAAACCTGGGACCCTTCAGTCCACAGGCCGATGCTCTATCCACTGAGCCAAACCGGCTAGGGCTGGCTTATGTCTTAAAAATATATTTCGGCAATAGTATGGAGACAAGAGTGGAATAATTTGGAAAAATGATCATAGCTAATAAAAATGGTATAATAAATATAATAGATCTGGCTAATTGTATATATGAACTTCAAATGACCTTATCTTAAAATAAATTCAAATTGCCCTAACCAGTTTGGCTCAGTGGATAGAGCATCAGCCTGCGGACTGAAAGGTCCCAGGTTCGATTCCGGTCAAGGGCATGTACCTTGGTTGCGGGCATATCCCCAGTAGGAGGTGTGCAGGAGGCAGCTGATCGATGTTTCTCTCTCATCGATGTTTCTGACTCTCTATCCCTCTCCCTTCCTCTCTGTAAAAAATCAATAAAAAAAAAAATATTTAAAAAAAAATAAATAAATTCAAATATATTGTTTTTCAAAAAATTACTTCTCACCCAGCCAGTGTGGCTCAGTGGTTGAGTGCTGACCTATGAACCCAGAGGTTGTGGATTTCTGGTCAGGGCACATGCCCGGGTTGTGGGATCGATCCCTGGTTGGGGGTGTGCAGGAGGCAGCCGATTGATGATTTTCATCATTGATGTTTTTCTCTCTCCCTCTCCCTCCCTCTCTGAAATCAATTTCAAAGCATTTTTTTTTTTAAAATTACTTCTCTGGCATACCAGAAGCTAACCCTTTACCTATGACAAGGGTGGGGAACACCTGGCCCGCAGGCCATCTAAGGCCGTGAAATCATTTGGTCGGTCCTGCCAGTAGCAGACAAGGAAGCCAGTGTCCTCCATGAGAGAGCAAGTCCCCTCTGTGTCAGCCTCATTCCCTCGCTCTGTGTTCCTCCAGCCTCAGTTTCTTTTATTTATTTATTTTAAATTTTAAAAAATCTTCATTATTACATATTACATATGTCCCCTTTTTTCCTCTATCGCCCCCTCCATCCCCCCTTCACCCCAGGCTATCACCACCCTATTGTCTGTGTCCATGGGCCATGCATATATGCATACAAGGTCCTTGGTTGACTAGCAGGCTAACTTTTAAGCTGATAATTTTGCATGGCCCCCAAATGATGTTATATCCAAGTGGCCCTTGGCAGAAAAAAGATTCCCCACCTCTGAACTGAGGTCTGAATTCTGAGCAAGCACACGGGTGTTAGGACTGGAAAAGAACCGTTTTGGCTGAGCGTGAGATGGTTTGGCAGGCGGCTCATTTCCATTTGTGACGGTCTAGTGCCACCCCTTGACCCTTCCATTCCTTGCACATTTATGCCCAAGGATACAACTATGGGCTCTGCTTGCAATGTCAGCCTCACGTTTACTATTCTTTTTTTTTTTTAAATATATTTTATTGATTTTTTACAGAGAGGAAGGGAGAGAGACAGAGAGCTAGAAACATGGATGAGAGAGAAACATCGACCAGCTGCCTCCTGCACACCCCCCACTGGAGATGTGCCCGCAACCCAGGTACATGCCCCCGACCGGAATCGAACCCGGGACCCTTCAGTCCGCAGGCCGACGCTCTATCCACTGAGCCAAACCGGTTTCGGCCACGTTTACTATTCTTAAGGTTCAATTACGTAAACATCAAAGAAATACAATCCTAAATAGTGAGACACCACTGTTACCTAGCAAATCAACAAAAAGATTTTAAAATTTTTAAAAACTTCTATTGATTTCAGAGAGGAAAGGAAAAGAGAGGTAGAAACATCAATGATGAGAGAAAAATCATTGATCACGCTGTACACAGATGAGCCCACCACCTGGGCATGTGCCCTGACCAAGAATCGAACCGTGACCTTCTGGTTCATAGGTCGATGCTCAACTACTGAGCCAAGCCGGCCGGGCAGCAAAAAGTTTTTAAAAGTAAGATCGCTTCGCATTGGAGAGGGCGGGTGCAGTACAGCAGACATTTGCCAAGGTCTCTTGACATGCACGCAGTGTGGCAGTTTGCATCTAGAGCAGTGATGGCGAACCTATAACATGCGTGTCAGAGGCGACAGGCGAACTCATTTTTTTGGTTGATTTTTCTTTGTTAAATGGCATTTAAATATATAAAATAAATATCGAAAATATAAGTCTTTGTTTTACTATGGTTGCAAATATCAAAAAATTTCTATATGTGACACAGCACCAGAGTTAAGTTAGGGTTTTTCAAAATGCTGACACGCCGAGCTCAAAAGGTTCGCCATTACTGATCTAGAGCCTTAAAAACGGTCTTCATGTCCTTTGATCTGGTAAACATGTTCCTGGGAATGTATCTTAAGGAAATCATTGCAAGTGTGGGAAAGCTTTGCGGGAAATAGCGGTGCAGTCTATGCACGTCTGGGAGAGAGCAGGTGAACGGCCACTTACACCGCCTGCAACTAGGAGGCTTTACGAGTGGGGCATCCGGGCTTTGGGAAATTCTGTAACTTGCCAGGGTTCACACAGCTGGTACAGGATAGAACCATATTCAAATCCAGACGTGTTTTATTCCAAAACCCATGCTTTAAATCATGATGCTGATATAGAAACAAGTATTTTCTCAACTGGCACAAAAAGGCCAACCAATCCTCGTACCATCAAGTTATTCACAAGCGTAGCAACAGATTACGAAGGCGGAATAAGAGCTACGATTATTTTTGTGCCCGGCCGTGTCTGCTGGCTTTCGGCGCCACGCTGCCCTTCTGGGCCATCCTCCTACTTGGGGCTTACAGCCTGCACACGCCACGCCCCACGCTCCCGGCCAGACGGCTTCCTGCTCTGTCCCATCGTTTCTTGGCACTGGCACGAGGATCAGAGGTTGGTGAAAGCACAGAGGTACTTCCCTTCAGTAGTGGCTTGGCAGAGGCAGCCACAGCGGAGGATGCCCGAGGACGGCTGCGGGCTGCGGTGGTGATGCTGCAGCTGTACTGGAGGGAGGAGACTCAGCCTCCGAGCAGAGCAGCGGGCTCCACCAGCTCCGTGGAGAATGGGGGCTGGAGGCTCCAACCCAGGGGCAGGAAGGGGCAGCTCCCCGACCTTAGACTAATAGCCCTTTCCCTTGTGCCTCCCAAGTGGCTTCCCTCCATCCCCCTTTTGGCCTTTTGGTTCTTTTAACAACTTTGGAACCAATTCCTGGCATTCAATCCATCTCCACTTGAATTATCTGGAGTGTTTTCTATTTTCCTGTCTGGCCACGAACTCACATACTCTGCATCTGCAGCAAAAATTATATACTTTTTAAAAAATCCTCACCCGAGGATATTTTTCCATTGAGTTTTAGAGAGAGGGAAAGACAGCGAAATAACAATGTGAGAGAAACGCATAGATTGGTTGCCTCCTGCACGTGCCCTGACCAGGGCCCGGGTTGGGAAGGAGCTTGCAATTGAGGTACCTGCCCTTGACCCCTTGACTGGAATCAAACCTGGGACCCCTTGGCTATCCACTGAGCTAAACTGGCTAAGGCAAAAAATTATATACATGTTTACTAGAATAACATTAGTTAGAATGACATTCTGGCCTGGCTGGTGTGCCTCAGTGGTTGAGTGTCCACCTATGAATCAGGTCAGGGCTCATGCCCAGGTTGCAGGCTTGTCCCCCAGTAGGGGGCCTGCAGGAGGCAGCTGATGGATGATTCTCTCTCATCATTGATGTTTCTCTCTCTCCTCCCTTCCTCTCTGAAAAAAAAAAGAAAAAAAAAGACTGACATTCTTATTTTTATATGAGGAAGAAATAGGCTATAAGTACTTGCTTTTCTTCTGCAGGGAGCAAAATATCTTTGCATTTTGTTTCCTTCATATATGGTAAGAAAAATTGTCTAAGTTATACAAGTAACTTGGCAAATAAAAGATTTATTAACTCAGGATATAACTTTTTTATGGGACAAACTACCAAGTGTCTTAGCATCACTTGTCAGATAATATTTGACAGCAGCTACAACACAGAGATTGCACAATTTTAACAACCGTAATAAATATGGTCAGTTGATAGCGGGCTCCAAACTTCCTCTGGCTCTTCCTGAGAAAGGTTTGATGACTGACTATGATCCATTAAGAAACATCTAAATGGGAAGAAACACAGAAGTATTTTTATGAGTGTCATTTAGGTTTTTTTTCTTTTTTTAAATAGAAAATGCTCAGATAAACTAAAGAACTTAAGGTTTAACTGTATGGCTAAAAATCTACACATAGCATTCTTGAGCAGTTCAGATGAATAGGACTATAGAAAAACCTATTTTTAAGGGCCACAAATTCATCTCCTAAATTCATATTCTCCCTTTTTGAAAAAAGCAATTTTATGCCACTGAGCACAACAGACTTGGAAGTTATTAATGAAAGTTAATAACACGTAGGCTTATTTTAATATGTCTATTTTGGACCAAAGGAGAGAAAACCCCCCACAATATTTAGGTTTACTAAAACTACTAATTCATGATCAAAATAAAAATATTTGCCTTATATTTAAATTCAAAATAGAAGCAGAAGTAATTTACATGCACATTTTATATATAAAGACATTTGGAAGAATATATACCAAAATGTTAACAGTGATACTCTCTCTTGGTAGTGAGATTTCAAGAGATTAAGAACTTTGGTTTTTTTGCTCTTGCAAATTTCTCTTTTTTCCTTAGGGAACACTTATGTCTTAGGTAACTAAAAAAGGAGAAGTAAAAGCAATTGATACTCAAGCATCACATTAACCAAGGCCTTTGGAAATGTAGTGTCTCACTTGCTTCAGTTTGAAAAGCAAGACTTTAGGAGGAAGCTGGAGAGCAGGTGGCCCAGGAGTAAAGCCAGAGCTGGCCCAGGGTCAGTGACCAGCTAGAGGCCACATGGCCGCTTGGTGCGGAGCTCAGAGGAGAGCCATGGCCTCTTCATTGCTGGCCTGGGACTCTCATAAAAAAAGGAAAATATAAAAAATATATGCAGTCACATGTGAAAACACAGTGATCTCCAGAACAAGTCTGGCTCAATGTCAAGACCCTGGAAATAGAAATGGCATCAGGCTGGTGAGAGTCCAGGTAACTGCGGGCAGCTTTACCTTCAGAATCTCACAGGGCGCGGCGTCTGCGGGCACGGGGTTCCCACGGTGCTTTGAGTACTCACTTATAAAGACGGAAGCTTCATCTATACTACAGCATCAAGAGAAAAAGAAGGGCATGAGGAAAGTTTTGGGGGTGGGAACTGCTTGCTAGCTGGATTGTGGTGATGGCGTCACTGGTGTAGACATATGTCAAAACTCATCAGATTGCATGTCTGAAATACGTGCAGCCGGTTCTATATAGATCATGCATCAAAAAATAACGCTCGTTCACAAATAACAGCAAGTGATTATGGTTGGACCCCAGCAATACACAAGCAGAAAGAGATCCGTGCTGTGGTCAGGAGAGAAGCACGCCTCCCATGTGATCAGCACAGCTAGGTGAACGGAGGGATAGACCCAGGAGGCATGTTAATCCCTTGCCTTTCTTCAGGGTCACCCCATTTCTTCTCTCTCCTTTTCACTTTACAGATCTGTTCCCAACCTGATCCCAAGAGAAGCTTGTTGTTTCCAAACTTGTGGATGCTGGTAAATTAGATAACCAAGCTTGGCCAACATTATGATACATGAGCCATCGACTCTGAGCAAACGCTAAGAACTAAAGCTGTCATGTAGGGTTTCAGAGCGGAGCTGTGAGACACCTACTTTGGAGGTTCAGGCAGCTTGTTTGTCTGATTCCCAGGGCATGTTCCAAGGGACTGGGCTACAAGACAATTGACCTCAGGGTACGGGTAGTAACGCTACAAGGTAACGTTTGGAGTCTTGAGTTACAACCAAGCAGCTCTATAATTGTTTGATATCTTCCTCCAAAATAAACATACAACTTAAGGACATTCTATGGTAAGTTTTTTTTAATTGACTTACCTTCCTTCATTTGCCAAATAGTTTACCAGGTCAGTGATGTTGTTGGTGTTTATCAGGTGCAGTTTCAACACTTGAAAGTATTTTGTCTTTGCCAAAATCCCAAACTCCTTCTTATTTCTGATATTATTCAGAACCAGATTTTGAATCTATAGAATGACAGGTATCGTCATATTAACAACGTGTTAAATGCCAAGTCCTAGTTAATTCCGAAACATTTCTGACAATCCGGAGTGAGACTGTCATCGTGATGTAACTCACTCCTTTGCGAGGGGGTGGGCCGGGGGACGGGGCTGCGTTGGCCCGTTTCAGTACTGTATACAGTGAATCAGTAGGAAGTAATTGTGGTTAAGCACTTTGGGACTTTGAATAAAGCACAGCAATAAACAAGACAGCCAGGGTCCCCGCCGTTAAAAAAATGTATAGGTTTTAATAAAAGCAAATGAATTGTATGTATTAACAAAAAGATTGAGACAGTAATTTTCCGCTTCATCCAGGTTTCGGGAAAACGATTACCTTCTAATACCTAATTTTTCATAGCAAAAAGGAGATGAAATTTTCTCTTACTTGATGTGAAAACCCTGCCAGCTGGCCAGTGCTCATGTGCTCCTCCAATTGCTGTAAAATGACCTGAGGGCTGCACGAGTTCAGAAAGGTCTAGAGAAAAAAATCAAAACATAGTTGACAGGAAAAGCATAATTACTACTCATGTCTGTCCAATCTGTAAAGTATTCACTTTTTAAATTTGAAATATCTTAAAGGATTTCTATTATAGGAAAAAATGCCCCTGTCAACCAAAAATTATTGAAATAAGGTAAGAAGCATTTTACAAAAATGCCCATTCCAACCGTAAGAGCTGTTTAATAGGCATGTTGTCATTCTAAGGGCCAAAAGGAATCTATTTAAATACTAGCACTTGGAAGAGCAGCAACAGATGAGGTTATGAATAGTCAGGAAAGAACAAAGTCAAAGATAAGCACAGACGGCTTTGACAAAAATAAAACGAGTAGAACAAACGACAAATGAAACATTTCCAGATGCTTTGTTCTACTTGCTCTGTGTTACAGCGGGAATGAGAGTTTTTTTGTTTGGTTTGTCCTCACCTGAGGATATTTTTCCATTGATTTTTTAGAGAGAGTGGAAGGGAGGGGGAAAGACAGAGAGAGAAACATTGATGTGAGAGACACACTGACTCATTGCCTGCCGCACACTCCCCGAACCGGGCCAGAGATTGAATCTGCAACTGAAGTACATGCCCTTGAACGGAATCGAACCTGGGACCCTTCAGTCCAAGGGCCGGTGCTCTAACCACTGAGCGAAATGGCAAAAGTTGTATTTTTTTTAAGTTTTGTCCTTATAGAGTCCTTGTGGCTCCCTTTGTGGCACCCACACACAGACCTGACTCTCCGCTCTCTTCTACCTCCCTCTTCCAATCACGAAGTCAAGCTGCCCTCCTCGTAGTCTTCTCCCTTCAGTTCACTTTCATTCATTGCTACCAACTACTTTGGGGATTGATCCCCTCACGCTTTCCTGGCCTCTCCACAAGGTTGCTGTGCATGGATTTAGTGAGATAATAGCTTCCCCAGAGTTTCATTTCTTGACACCTCTTTCCTCCGGTCAAGCTGACATGGATTATTCCTTCTGAAATATTTCTGATCGTTTCACTTTACTCTTCTGGGAAAACTGACTGTTCCCTACTGACAAAGATGCACTCTTAAGGCTTCTCTCAGACTAGCCTCCATCTAGCTTCCAGTCTTACCTTCCACTAAACCCCCCCACCCCACAATCCTGCCCTGTCCACACTGATGTGCCCCTGCTCTGCTGGTTTGGTGAAAAGAACACGCAACCTTTCTCAGGGGACATGCAAGGCTAAGACCTTCCATGTCTTTGGTAGCCCCAGAGGCATAATTTCCAAGATACCTTGATATGCTGGTGTCTTTTGTCTGAGTGGGGCAGGAGCATGAGACAGGCTAACGCAAAAGCTGGAAGCTCTAACTGGACATACTGCCTGGCGACTCCAACCATGTCGAGATCATCGGAAACGGGACATCTTGGAGAGAGCACACGATTAGTCACGAGATGGCACTGTCCGAGTCCCTTGTTTCTAGTGTTCCCCACCTGTTACTTGCCGATGCTTTCAGTAATCTTAAGACACTGAAGTGCTGTGCATAACACCTGCTTAGCAGTGAGCAACTCACGTCTGCTATGGCGTTCTTCCTGCAGTAAAAGGATCTACCCACAGGAATGCAGACCACTGGCTGCTGCTATGATTATGTCTGAAAGCCTCCACATAAAGACAAACGTTCTACGAGACAACACTGTGTCTGTCACTCAGGGTAGTCACAAACGGTACTCTATACTCACATTGAAATTGGGGACCAATGGCATATCTGGTTACCAGTGGTACCACACATGGAAAGTAGACATTATAAAAATAAGAGATATTTAATTTAAAAGCAAGTGGTAGGTTTACCTTCCCAAGATAAAGAAACTACCCCGTAACAGATATCTATTAAAAAGGAATTTCACAAGCAATAAATTGGATTTTTTTTTTTGGTAGGAAAACAAATATTTCACTTACTCGAGAATAGCAATGAGACTCTCACAACAATCTGATAACTGGCTGGGGCTTAAAGGACAAGAGGCTGAAAATAAACAAATAAAAACAATGTGTACACACGCACAACCACAAAATGCGACCCTCCATGGCCCAGAGGAGGGGACAGTACCTGAAAGCAGCGGGACCTGGACCACACGCTGCCAGGCCTTGCTGAAGTAGGGCACCTGTAGGGACAAGTGTGTCAGAACGCACGCCTGGGCCAGCAGAGGCTACTGGACAGTCACAGCACGCACACCCAGAGCTCACATGCTGGATGCTCAACCAAAGTCCTCAACTGATACCTCTGTGTTTGAGGTGATTAGATTGTAGGATTATTTTTCAGCAGCCCTGGCTGGGTAGCTTAGTTACAACAAATTAACATTTCTCTCTTTTTCTCTCTCAAAAGCAAAAAAACAAAAAAACAAAACAAAACCCCACTTAGTTGTACATTTAAAAGGGTGAATTTTACATGTGAATTATAATTTTTTTTTATTGTTAATTCTCACTTGAGGATATTTTTCCATTGCTTTTTAGAGAGAGCGGAAGGGAGGGGGAGAGGCAGAGAGAGAGCAAAATCAATGTGAGAGACACATCGATTGGTTGCCTCTCGCATGTGCCTTGACCAGGGCCAGGGATCAAGCCTGCAACCGAGGTACGTGCCCTTGACTGGTATTGAACCCGGCACCCTTCAGCCCGTGGTCTGAGGCTCTATCCACTGAGCCAAACTGGCTAGTGTGTGTGTGTGCATGTGTGTGTGTGTATCTTAATTTAAAAAAAATGAGATCTATATGTGTTGATATGTAACAATCCGGATGACACCAATACATTATATATTTTTATGTGATAATGATGATGTGGGTGCACAACTTATGAAATTTAGAAAAAAATAACGTGGTCTCTGACTTTAAAGATCTTCAAAGTCCACGAGGGGTGGTCGAACGTGTAATTAGGGTAAATTGTGCTCTGACAACCATCACAGATGAGCCAGCGCTTTGAGGTGTGATGCACGGAGCCTGGAGAACTGGGGAGAGTGAGGTCTTGGAGGAGGTGACATCGGAGCTGAGTGTTCCGAGTGTGAGCACCACTGTCAGGAACATCCTCCCACAGCAGATCCGTTCTGTCCTTTATTAAGGAGACAGTCACTGACCGGGCGTGCCCAGGAGTCACCAGGCCAGAGAGTATAGAGATTAAATTCTATAAAACTTACTTTAAAAAAAAATTACATACCTGCCACAAAGAATGGATGCTAGAAATGGCTGTTAAAACTTTCCTTAGATAAGGAATCTGTGGGAAAATAAACAAAAAACGAAATGTTCCAAAGATCACCAAAACAGAAAATTTCCACATGAGATATCGGATTCTTTCAAAGGAAGCATCAGTCAAATTCATCTTCCCTGAGAACCACCGGAGCAGTGCGCTTACACATCCACGAACATCAAACGAGGCCAGGGAGCCCTCCCTCCCTGTTTCCTGGGAGATCTGCATCATTCTGAGTCTGCACTTTCTCTGGCCTCACATGAAGTCCTGAGCCAGGGAGGGTGACGTTTGCACCATGCATCTGTTCAGTAGCGAGCATCGCCGGCAACGGCTGAAGCGCCGCCGGGCCAGAGCTGGAAACGACACTGCAGGGGAGGGTACCAAGTCTTACCATGTTGAAGCCAAGAAGCTTTTGCAAGAGTCCGTTCCACAGCTGCAGGTCATAGATTTTGTATTCTAAGCAAAGCTCAGTCACCAGTCTCACTGCCTACAGGAGAGAGAAGAGTCGTACTGCTCTACGGCACCAGACAATCAAACCACCTCTGCCAAAGGCATCCGACCCACCTGGGCTCCGACTGCCTCGGACACTAACTTCCCACAGACAACGAGGAGGAGGTGAAGCTCTACCCCTTCCTACCCAGGGCCATCTCTTCTCTCGTCCAGACGAGGAGAGACAGGCCTGGGGAAGGATGATTTCTCTTGAGAGGGATGGCCTTAGCCGTCAGGAAGAGAGGTAAGACGCCCAAGTCGCCTCGTCACCCGCAGGACAGGACAGAAGAAAAGCTCTCACAGCGGCAGACTTGCCCGGGAATAGTTCCTCTGGTTTTGTCTTTCAGGAAGCTGAGGTGACGGGTGCTCGGTGTACATACCATGGACTCGTGGCTGTGGTTTTTCCACAGGCCCTTAATCATGCCTTCCTTAGGACTGTTGCAAAATAATTCATAGGTGATGGGGATATTCAACATCTCAAAAGACGCCAGGAAAGTTATACATTTCAAGTAAGATCTGGAAAACAGAGGCATTCACAGTAAACATTCTCTTAGGCCACGTTTACACTTAAAATAAAAGCCACCATCTGGATAAATTAGGCCTGTTTGTTTTTAAATGCTTATTCTAGGTTTCTGAAAAGATCCACTGAATATAATATTAGGAAGACATCAGTTTGAGCAAGAGGCAGAAAACAGTGTCTAAAGGTCTCGCAGGAGAGAGGGGAAGGAGAGCTTCTCACAGGCCTGTTTCCCCGTTGCCAACATGTCAAGGACACCCAAGGTCCGTTTCCACGCCTCGCTAATGCCCTCTCCGAGGCACCGCCCTGCCAGCTACCCTCCCAAACAACGACCTGCTGCTGTTTCTTCTTGTTGTTGCCTATTTCTTAATGCGATTTGAAAAGTCTACTTACTTGACTTCTTCGATGGGCTTTTTGAAGAGCGATTCTATGGTTTCCTTGTCAGCCAAATACAGGAGACACTGAAGAGCCCGTGTTCTGTGGGCAAAGGTTAACTGACCCATATCTAATGTCTGTAAAACCAAACATGTTTGGGGAGTTGCATGTTTGCATGCTGTGCTTGAGTCAAAACTCAGGTAACACAAGCAACATCATTTTAAAAACATTTAAAGTCAATCTCCGTTCTGAGGGAGTCAGTAGTTGGCAAAGTGTGGTCCATGGAACCCTGAGGAGTGTTCCTCGAACTCATTCAGGAGGGAATGGTCAAAACTGTACTCCTAATAACACTGCTGGTTCAAATCGAAGAAGGGACGCCCCCTTGTGGCGGCGCTGCTGTATGCTGCACAGCCCGCAGTGGCAGCACTGAGAATGAGCGATGACCTCCACTCAGAAGGTTTGATGAAGCAGTAAAAATTAATTTGATTAAACCTCAACTCTTGAATAGATTAAGAGCTCACATTTGAGTATTAATTAATTAAAATGTACTCATGAATATTGTCTGACAAAATAGGAAGCGTGCGTCGGGCATACTGCAGCGTGATGGTTTTTTTCAGGGGAAAGCACGAGCCACTTTTCCTGGAAAGCCATTTTTACCTGAAATAATAACTGATATGCATGAAAAAAGGGGAAAATTCCCTCTCGCTGTCAAGGACACACCCTCAGCTTCTCACACTTTCCCCCTCTCCTTCCTCCTATCCTTCTAGCTACACCTTTGTCTCCCTGGGGTCCAATGGCCTCCGCACATTTCTACATGCTCAAGCCTGAAAGCAAAGAGGCCCTGCTGCCTTTAGGGGAAGCAAAAGGGATGGGTCTGTCCAGCTCAAATTCAGTGCGTGACTGGAGGGGAAGCCGTTGGGCAGGGCCCCGAGGCCAGGGTGGGGTTTTCTCTGGTTGGCCCCTTGCTATCAGGAATGCTGACCAACCAGGGAGTTAGCAACTGTGAGTGTAGATAACCTGTGGGAACTGGCACACCATTCGGTTTGCTAAGCGGGATGTTACAGAAGCCAGCACTACAGGGAGTTTGGCAGATATTACAAAGTAAGGCATACTTTGAATAAGTACACAAGTGAGCATTATCTTAATCACCTGTTAATGATATCGAGCGTGGCAAGTATGCAGAGAAAAATATTAAGCTGAGATGCAGGACATGAGTTTTGACTAAGTTCCCAGGACTTACAGTTGTAGCTGATGTTGCAAATATAAACAGCATTCTTGAACTATAATCAATCGGACGAGACTGAAGGAGATACAGGACTCTGAAAAAAGTTGTTATATTTAGATACACAGAGAAAGTCATTAGGCATCCCAAACAGAGATCTGAAGGGTTATGGGTCAAGGACATTTTTGCTTTCCCTTTTACCTAGATGATAACACAATAAACAGTCTTCTCATCCATCAAATGGCTAGTTGATCTCTGATCATTTAAATTCTATGTAAGAAATTGCCCTAACTGGTTTGGCTCAGTGGATAGAGTGTCAGCCTGCGGACTGAAGGGTCCCAGGTTCGATTCTGGTCAAGGGCATGTACTTTGGTTGCGGGCACATCCCCAGTAGGGGCTGTGCAGGAGGCAGCTGATCGATGTTTCTAACTCTCTATCCCTCTCCCTTCCTCTCTCTGTAAAAAAATCAATAAAATATATTAAAAAAAAATAAATTCTATGTAAGAAATTAACACAAACCATAGCTGCAAAATACACCAACTACTACACATGGACGATTTTGTTTTCAGTCACAAGATGGGATCAGTGGCACCGGCGTACTGGGCGGGTGTGGGGGGCGTGGAGCTTTCAGTGGGAAAAGGCCGGAAGTTACGCAATTGGCATGAAGGAAAAATCCCTTTTGGGCTCCTTTCTTGGGATTCTCTCTCTCTGAGTTGTTTCCACGACTTCCCTGGGGCTAATTTAGTCAGACATCCTAAGACCTGCCTCGTGCCAAAGGTGCCTCCACCCACAACACTATGCAAGCACTCAGTGAAGTCCAGAGGCAAGGAGGCCATGGGCGGGGGGGGGCGGGGCGCAGGCCAGCTCTGTCCGAACCAGGAGAGATTCTTTCCTTGGGCTGGTCCTTCCACGTCCTCTCTCAGATCTCCAGGGCTGATGCAGGGCTTCCTGGGGGACCTGACCTACTTGTGGCCTAGACCAGGAACGGCAGAAGCTAGCATGTGTGTCACCACGCCCTCTCCCACGCCTGGGCCAAGCAGCACTAACGGGTTACCACATTCTTTGTGATTCCGGCCCAGATAGTCTTCCCAGGAGAGCAAGTCGTGACCAATCAGACTGAGCACACTGGGTGAGACCGATGTGCCTTCTCTGGTCTCAGTCTCAGGTTGGAAGGGAGAAGAAATCCTGGTGGCCCACGGCTGAGCCAACCCAGCTCACCAGGGGGAGAGAACATAAAGGGGCCTTGGGCCTAGGTCTCAGCTAATCGGAAGTTTTCCTTTGCCTGAGGCGCAGTCTCTGCTAAAGTGTTCGAAGAGGCCTCGACATTAGTAGGAACTCGTTGAAGGTTCAGAAATTCTGAATCTTGGCTGCTGCTCATTTATTGCGCTGCAGATACTTATACCTGCTCACAGCCATTTATCAAAGAATTGGTTCTTCTCAGAGACTGATCCAAGCTCTATCAGGAAAGGGTTTTCAAAACCGACCTCTGACAAATTTACTAGTAAGATTCCGACTGGGCGAGAGGATATGGATAAATATAAGCAAAGAAAGAATACCTTCGCAGTGCTTCATCTTCTTGAAGTTCAAATATTTCTGATGGGTTCTTTGAGAAAGTAAAAAAGGAGAAAAAAAAGTCAAAACTTAATAAAGTTTGTTGAGCTAGATAAAATTATGGAAAATCTATTAGAAGAAAAACCCAATATAAAAATTGTCTACATGCAAGAAATTTCAGTACAATTCACTACTTTAAGATTCTTGCTTAGAAAATGGGTTTACTAACATTCATTCAGTCAAGAAAATATTTGCACATATTTGCATGGCCCATGGACACAGACCATGGGACAGTGAGGTCCTGGGACGGGGGGAGGGGTGTGGGAGGGTTGGAGGGGGTCAAGGGGGGAAAAAGGAGACATGTATACTACTTTCAATAATAAAGAATTATACCAAAAAAAGGAAAGAAAATATTTACTGAGCACTCACTAGGTGCCAGGCATCGTTCTGGGCACATGGGTTCCCTGAGTAAACAAAACCAACACTCCTGTCCTCCTGAAGCTTACAGCCATTGGGTAATTTTTAAAAGGACTCTATGAATTTTAAATGAGTCGCTCACTAATTCAGTATATTTTCATGGGATTTACAAAGCAATGTTTTAGGTGCTGTGTATGGACCAAGTTCCTGGCCTCGAGGAACTTTTCGGTTTAGAACTCCAAATGTGTAGGTTAAACCATTCTGGTTCCTGAGTCAACCACGTACTCTGAAGGGCCTAGATGTGCCTCTGACTCCTCTGTGCCCCCTGAAGCACAGATTTTGTTCTTGGTAAATACTTAGAGGAAACAGTACAGACATTTCTGCATTTGGATTGCTGAATCCCTCCATAAATTTAGATTTAATGATATTATTTCTAAAGAAACTGACATCGGCAAACCCACAATAAGAACTTTACAAACCAAACTGGCCTGCACCCTTCCAAAACAGTGTCTGTCAGAGTTAATAGAGGTTCAAGTGAGAATTCATGGACACATACAACAGTGTGGTGAAGGCCTGGGGAAGGGGCGGAGTGAGGTGGCGGGAGTCAATGTGGGGGAAGAGGACATCTGTAATACTTTCAACAACAAAGATAAATCGTAAAAAAAGAATTATCAATAGATATCAAATTGGGGCATATGCGTGGTGGGGGAGGAGTTTGAAGAGAAACAAAATATACTGTTTCAAAGTACCTCTCTCTAATAATTACAAAAGGAAACATAGTAACTGTGTAATAGAGAAATAGACAATATTTTCACTAAGGTATATAATTTTTTTTAATAGGTTTATTTGTGTTACATTATTTAAAAAAAATATTTTCATTGATTTCAGAGAGGAAGAGAGAGGGAGAGAGAGATAGAAACATCAATGATGAGAATCATTGATCAGCTGCCTCCTGCATGCCCCCCACTGGGGATCAAGTCCACAACCTGGGTATGTGCCCTCGACCAGAATCGAACCCGGAACCCTTCAGTCCATAGGCTGAGCTCTAGCCAGGGTTAAGTAAATTAACCTCACCTATTAGGGCAAACAGACATCTGGGCCAAATGTCATACCCTGAGAAGGACATAGTATCGTTTAGGTAGTACTCTGGCCCAAAATGCATAATTCGAATCTTATAATAAGAAGACATTATACAAATCCAAATTGAGGAGCAGCTTAGGAAATAACTGGATTCTTTTCTTTAAAAATGTCAGTGTCACCAACGACAAGGAAAAGTCATGGAACTGTTCTAGTTTAAAAGAGATTACAAATGTAACAAATAAATGTTGCACATAATCCTGAACTTGATCCTGATCCCTGGAGGAAAACTTGCTATAAAGAACATTATTGGGACAAATGGTTAAATTGTAACATGGACTATAGATTCAAGTCTGTTTGTATTGTATCAATATTATGTCAATATTAAATTATCTGACTTTGATAATTATACTGTGGTTAAGTAAGAGAAAAGCCTTGTTCTTAGGAAATATGCTTGTTACTATTAAAGGGTAAAGGGGCAAGACATATGCAATTTACTCTCAAATGGTTCAGAAAAATATTATGAATATATATATAATGGGGAGAGTAATAAAGCAAATATGGGAAAACGTTGAACTCTGATGGAGCTGGGTGAGGGATAGACAGGAATTCTTTCATACTACTGCAACTTTTCTGTATGATTGAAATTACTTCAGAATAAAGTAAGTCCCACGATCTGAGTGTAAGACAGGCCATTTCTTTTATACCTATATTCACCTGGAATCACCAATTAAAAGGTAAAAATAGTTGCAAAACAATATTTAAGCTAAAAGAAAAAGTGGCCCAGCCGGTGTGGCTCAGCGATTGAGCATCCACCTATGAACCAGGAGGTCACGGCTTGATTCCCAACCAGGGCACATGCCCAGGTTGTGCGCTCAATCCCCAGTGTGGGGCGTGCAGGAGGCAGCTGATCAATGATTCTCTTTTATCACTGATGTTTTTTTTCATCTCTCTCCCTTTCTCTCTGAAATCATTAAAAATACACATATTTTTAAAAAAGTAAACGTCATTAAAACTCATCAGAGAATAGGAGGTACTAAACTAAACAAAGGTTTCTTCTTTTAAGATTCTGTGTTCCTAAGTAGAAGGTTCTCCCAGTGAGAGACAACAGATATGGAAGATACTCTTGAGGACAAACTTACTTCGCCAGGTTTTGTGGATGGGCACAGCCATTTTTTCAGCAACATGTCCCACACTTTTTCCAAATTAATTTCATTGACTTCGGCTATTTCTTTAGCTGCTGCGTGAATATCTAAAATATTCAAGATGAAGAATTAAAAAAAGAAAAGTCCACATTCTCAATGCAAGAGAACTGGGAATCAAAATGATAGCTCTCCTTGGACCACAAGATAGCAAGGGTGTTGTCCTCACCGGGATAGTCCTTGCCAGAGGCATTCTGAATTCTGAGGCTGATGCTAGGATGTTCGTACAGACTGACGATGAGATGTGCTGGTTTTCCAATCACCCTCAGATACTCCGCCGTGTTCAGCTTGTGGGCTATGAGCACGGCCTCTGTGCCTGATCGCCGGTACTGAATGTGGAGCTTCTTCAACAAGGCCTCGGCTTTCTCACGAGTTTCCTCCTTTAAAAATTCCCAAGCACAGAGAAACGCTTGCTTTCTCAATCTCAAGGGAGACACAGAATAGCCTTCTTTACCAATCCTGGGAGGGAGGGCCCTGCCTTAGTTACATCCTTAAGGATCCAATACAAAGGCCTCATTTTTTTTCCATTTTAGGCATCCAACCCTGGAAAAGCTTACCACCAGGGCAGGATGAGGAGGCATGCTAGGTGAGCACAATTTAAATAAAAAGAAAGAGGAGCCTTCTATTTCAGCGTTCAGACACACCTTAGGTGGGATATTCTGTAGCCATTTCTCGGTTAAATACAGGCAGAATTTCAAAGTGGACATCTTGAAGGAACCTGAAAAGATAAAGAAGAGAGCAGATCTTAATCCTTTCAAAACAATGTGTTTTAGTCAAATTAGCAAGTTTTTTATTTTAGTTACAAAAATGCATGCTCACAGTAAAGAACAACCTAAACAGGACAGAAAAGTACCAACCAGGAAGCAAACGCAGAGGCCCCTTCTTTAGCTTCCATTTCTATTTCTGAGCCTTATACTCCTCCCAAGTCTCCTGTGTGGGCGCACACACATTTTAACCCAAAGGGGATAAGATCATACACATAGTACAATTTGCTGTTCTCACTTAATATACATCTTGGCCCTTTGTGACAGCATGGATGGATCTGGAGAGCATTGTGCTAAGTGAAATAAGCCAGTCAGAGAAAGACAAGCACCACATGATCTCAATCATTTCTGGAATCTAATGAACACAATAAACTAACATGCAAAATAGAGACAGACTCACAGATAGAGAACAGGCTGACAACTGTTTGGGTGGAGGGGGGGAGGGCGTGGGATTGGGGGATCGAGGGATTGAGTAAAAAATTTAAAAAAAGAAAAACTTATGGGCACAGACAACAGTGTGGTGATTGTTCGAGGCGGGGGGGCTAGGGAAAGGTGGAGAAGAGTATAGGAGGGATTAATGGTGATGGAAAGAGAGTTGACTTGGGGTGGTGAACACACAATACAGTGTACAGATGATGTGATGTGGAATTGTGCACATGAAATCTGTGTAATTTTGTTATCTGTGGTCACCCCAATAAATTCAATAAAAAGGAAAAAATATATGTATACGTATATAACATTTGGACATCTTTCCAAATCAACTACATAGCATTCTATTCTAAGAATGTGCTCTATTTTTTAAACCACTTCCTGACCAATGAACATTTTTTTAAAATAGTTTTTTTCAAGTTTTGTTACAACAAAAACCATGGGAACGCGTACCTGTGTTTGTGTACCTGTTTGATTAGGTGAGACTATCTAAGGACTCATTATTGGAAGTATGACTGGATAGTGGGAAGTTAAGCATCAATTCATATTCCCACCGTCGAGGTGGGGCCCGTATCCACACGCCCTGAGCAAGCAGCAAGGAGCCTTACTTCCCCGACTGGGGCCATTATAACATCCAGCAGTAAAACAAGTGAAGAGAGAGGGCACATACTTTTCTGAAGTATCATATTTCTTCTCCTCAAAGCTATAAACATAGTTTTGTTTTGTTTTTTTACTAAAAGTTCACAAAGCAACTCAGCTGGCCATTCTAAGGGCAGTTAAAGGAAGAACCCCTACCTTCTGGGATATCCTGGGCAAGACTGAAGGCAATAGCTACCGCCCACTCCGGGTTGACTATCGACAGTAAGTAGGATTCGATGGTCTGAGCAATCTTGGTTATTTCCTTGTTAATCAATGTTGAGGACTTCGCTTGTGGTGACTTCACTAGTTTTGGCTTCAGTTTTTTTTCAAAGACATGCTTGGCGACAGACACATACAGAGTGTCCAAAGAAAACTTCAAAGAAGAAAAAAAGAAAAGTTAAGGCTGATTGATGGGTGAAAGAAAGCAGCATAAAGTCCTCCCCACAGGATCCGACTAACAAAAGGGTAAGGAAACGCCTTACAGAGCTGGCACCTGTTACCTTCATTAGCTTGGAAATGAGCAGCAGTGTCGGGAAGGACTCCTCGCTGAGCTCCGTAGCTGGAAAGGAAACAAGGACGGTGGGATTGGCTTAAGAAGAAAGTGTTGGCTACTCAGTAAAATTCGTAAGAAGTTAAAGAACGTACAGAGGATTTTCCAGAAGTTCTGTGCGGTGCCAAAAAATATGAGGTGGAAAGGCAGCCTGGTTTGGGCGGCAGATGGCAACGTTATCACGTGCTCCAACATATACTGATACTCGAGGTCCACTGGGGGGGAAATTCTCCTGTAGGACTTCAGGTGCTTTAGAAGACTCAAGGCCTGTATCACAAGAAAAAACATTTTCCTTTGAGATTAAATTAACCCTAAGTGTTTTAAAATCATCTACCTCTTGACTGGCCGGTGTAGCTCAGTGGTTGAGCGTCAACCTATGTATGAACTAGGAGGTCCTGGTTTCATTGTGGGCTTGGTCCCAGTGAGGGGCATGCAGGAGGCAGCTGATCAATGATTCTCTCTCATCACTGATGTTTCTCTTTCTCTTTCTCTCCCTCTCTCTCTCCCCCTTCCCCTCCCTCTCTGAAATTAAAAAAAAAAAAAAATCACCTAACTCTATACCATCATAGATTTCTGTTTCTGAGACAGTACTGTTTTCATCAAGATGATGGAAATCTTTTGTAGTTTTACCTTTAATGTTATTCTTCTAAACCAGTGATGGCGAAGCTTTTCAGCTCGGCGTGTCAGCCTTTTGATTTATATTTTTGATATTTATTTTATATATTTAAATGCCATTTAACAAAGAAAAATCAACCAAAAAAATGAGTTTGCGTGTCACCTCTGACACGCGTGTCATAGGTTCACCATCACTGTTCTAAACCATAATTAATATGGTCATGAAAAAAATTATACCATGTAAATCCATGGAACCCTGTTGCTGGTAGGATGTTTGGTAAAGGAGAGTGTTCCCTATGCTCTCTTCAAATAGTTTGAGAGCTATCTCCAAAACACTTGATTTCATTTTAAATATAGAGGCAGTAGATCTAAAATTAATCCTCTATATCCTTTACTTCTCTTTGGTTTAGATCTCATATTTCTCAGACTTATATAAACTACCTTTTGAATCAACTCATTCTAATTTTTAAAAAATCCAATTTAAAAAGAAGATATAAAAGCTTCTATGATCAAATTCAGAAAAAAAACTAAGAAGTTACTGAAAGTACAGAAATAGAATGAGTGAGTCCTAAACCTACCTACTAAGAGAGAAAAGCTGACTCAAACGTAGGTCCCACATACATGACCTACCCTCCGCCATAACAAATAGTTTTGCCTTAATTTTTCCAAATCAGTCTGTTACTGACTTCGTTCTCTTAGATTTAAATCGCCTCAGTACAGCAAAAACGGAATTAAGGTAAATGATAAAAATATGGGAAGCACGAAGAAACTTTTTATTTCTGTATCCCTTTTAAAGAAAGGAACTAGAATAAAACGTGGAGTTGTAAGGAACCTCAAAAGACCGTCCAGTGAGACATCGGATAACTAATTTTTTAAGGATCCAAATAAAAATAAAAAGATAATTTAAAAATATATTTATTATACCTGGTTAATATTAATGTTGGTTATTTTTTCATCGGCTCTTTCGATAACTTTCAGGACAACTTCAACCATTTCATAGTCATAGGGATCCAACTATATAAAAACAAAAATATATCAAAACCTGAGAAGATGGTACCTGGCTGGTAGTTGGTTTTATTCAGTTATGTTCATTAGTACAGAGACTGCAAATACAAAATCTCAGTGCACAGCAACGGTAAATTAGATTATTCTTTAAAAAACATTTTCTCACTTCTAAAATTAGTTCTGTTAGGATAAACATACATGCTTTAAAATGTCTCAAAATGCCTTTTTTAAAAAGCTGGATAAAGCAATGTTGTTTTAATAAAGAAAGAGATTCGTACAGGCCTAAAACCCTAAAGAGATAAACATATTAAAATTTTATAATTTTGAAAGATTTTAAAATTAAAATTCTATTTCTTCCATTTATGATGGGAAAATTAGAATAGAAGGAAACTGACCTTTTCTTGGAAATGACATAACTAGAGTGTGGCCTCTAAGCAAATGTCTCCAAGGGTTCCATTCCAGCTCTAATCATATACAGACTGAATAATTAATTGGGTGGCATCTATATGTTTATTAAAAGGGAATATTCTCTTTGTTCTTTGTTCCTACTTACACATCATTAGGTTTTTTTCCTTCATTTTTTAAATGCCAACCCAAGGCACATGAATAACACTGAACAAAGTGGGAAGATGATCTCTATGGTGCCTAGAAATTTTGAGCAAGTTACATATAATTTTTGGCTGAAGTGCAAGCAAAATATAAAACTGAAGTATTTCTTAGAATCTTATTTCCCCTTCCTTCGAACTTCATCCCACCACCAAACTACCTCTTGACCTAAAAATTCCAACTCTCAGATCTCCTAACAAAAATAATTAAACAAGAAGGCAAACATGTATGCATGAAGATATTCATTGTAACAATTTATAGTAAAAAAAAAATTAACAAATAATTTAAACGTTCATCTATAAAGGCCTGATAAAACACAGATTTCACCCATATTGTGGAATAACAAATATGTATTTGTCAAAAATGAGATAGATGGATATTTACTGACATTTAATAACAATACAGTAAGTGAAAAAAGAGAGTAACAGGATAATATATTTAGTGTAAGATAGTCACCAAGCTATTAACATTTTTATCTATGGAAGTAGGGTTAAAATTTTTCACTTTTTAGGTTTATACTTTTCTCTCTAGTTTTTCAAAGAATATGTGCTATTTATTAAAATCTGAAAAAAAAAAGGCTGTATCTACTTTTTAAAAAAAGAAAAACTGCTGTATTAAGCTATATTAAAAATCTAAAATTACTTCAAAAGTAAAAATTATTAAAATAACGCAGGGCTTACATTTCCAATTTGGTCCTATAGAGCTAATTAAGGGGAGATGGGCATTTACAATGACCCGAGGTGCTCCTTCCACCAGCCCTCTCCCTTAGAGAGTCTGCCGCCAAGGCCGACGACCACGCTCACTTCCCCACACCCTACCTTATGGAGTATCCCACTCAGACTGATGACCAAGTCTTTGGTGCTCGTCAGCAAAGGCACCATTTCCAGGGCTTTGGCCAGGAGTCTGGCGTGCTGCCGCGTTGCGGAGGCCGAGCTCGCGTCCCCCTGGCTGTGGCTGGTGTTCGTGTTGTGGAGCAGAGTTTCAATGAACAGCTGAAGAGCTGCGTCACAGTTCAGCTGAAAGGTGCTAAGAGAAGTATTCGGTTACACACCAAGCCCTGCAAATGCACACGTTTCCACACAAATATCTCGGAAAACTTAAGTTCCCGCTCCTATCGCTGAAATCTAACCCTCCTGTTGTCCAGTCTTTTTTTTTTTTTAAATATATTTTATTGATTTTTTACAGAGAGGAAGAGAGAGAGATAGAGAGCTAGAAACATCGATGAGAGAGAAACATCGATCAGCTGCCTCCTGCACACCTCCTATTGGGGATGTGCCCGCAACCAAGGTACATGCCCTTGGCCGGAATCGAACCAGGGACGCTTTAGTCCGCAGGCCGATGCTCTATCCACTGAGTCAAACCGGTTAGGGCCTGTTGTTCAGTCTTATAATCAATCAGCTAATCTACCTGTCACTGGAGTTAACTATTGCCTTGGCTATTAGCAGAGTCTCTGGAACCAGAGAGAGCAGACAGCTCTTCTTAAAATTGAAGGTATTCATGCTCAAGATGAGACTGAATTCTATCTAGGCAAGAGATATGTAAATTGACGATAATATGCAATAAAAACTGTAAAAATAAAGAGATGTGTGAAAGCTCTTTGAAACTAATAATGTGCCAGGAAATAGGTCATTCTATTAGAAACATCTAAGATATAAATTACCAATCATCTATTCCTACTCATCACAGTAAATTTTATCTGTAAGTAACATTTAATCTTTAATTTTTTTATTCACTTATTAAACTATTTTTTAAAATTCTCCCTAAATCCTACTTTTCACTGATTTTTTATTTAAGATTACCTTGCTCCTAAATTGATCTGAGTTAGACGTTTAATTGCTCAAAAGAATACTCCCAAACTTCCCTGACTTTGGGAGTCATCTGCAGCTCCTATTAAGGATCAGATTCCTGGGCCTTTGCCCAGACCTGCTGGAGAAACACCAGGGAGGGGCCCAGGAATCTGTATTTTTTAAATCATGTGTCCTAGGTGATGCTTATCATGAGGGGAGTTTGGGAAAAGACTTAAAAAGGTGTTATCTTAAGAGAATTTAATCCTGGATTTATTCAGTTTGAGGATGAGCAAAAGAAAACATCATGCCTAGCCAATGTGGCTCAGTGGTTGAGTGTTGACCTATCAACCAGGAAGTCACGGTTTGATTCCCAGTCAGAGTACATGCCTGGGTTTTGGGCTGGATCCCCAAATTGGGGTGGCGGGGGTCGGGGAGGGGAGAGGAACATCAGAGGTCTGGGGACCACAGTAATAACCATCCCTACTACTGTGTTCTCACGGTAAGGATTGCCACAGTTTGTATGGCTAACAGCAAAAATACCATTCAAGTTTTAAGAGTTACCTGCAATATTCCAGAAGGAGGCTTGTGTCCATATCTGTATTCTCCACAAGAGCTTTAATGAGGTCTTTCTTGGTGAGAAAATGTTGCCTGAAAACCGGCTGAAAAGAAATCTAGAAATAAAAAGAGCAAAACAAAAAAATCCACTTAACTGAAATGCATTAGAATAAGGGCACCATTGTGCTGTGCCTTTTTACTATCCTTTTTTTTTTAATAGAAAAGCATTTTTCTGAGACTCCCCCACTTGTTTTTTTAGCACACTACCCAACTTGACCACCATTCGGAGACTTCAGGTATATTTTGCGGTGGATCCTAAATCTCTCTCAGTCACACTAACCCTTGCCTCTTCATCGGTAAGTTTGGTTGTTAGCAACAACCAGTCCCATGACTGCACAGGAGTTACACCCCAAAACACATACCATTTCTGTAGTGGTTACATTCTTGGTAGGTCAACTATTTGCAAATTAAATAAAACGTTTTACATTTATAGTAAAGAAAACAGGATTTTGTTTGTGTTTGAAAAGTAAAAATAAGGGCCATTTACTTTTCCCTAGTCGGAGTTCTTAAAGCTTACTGCACCTGTACATACATTTTAATATTATCTTAAACCAAGTAATAGCAGCACAAAAGTATAAGGCTAAAGGCTAGGCCTGAAATAGTATAAACGTCAATTAATGCTGGACATATTCCTATAAATGAGAAAGGTAAACAGATGAAAATGATGTCAAGCCTCTTTTAATTTCCTTAAAAATATAGAGAAAAGAAAATGAGACAAAAGGCCTCTACTTCTTTGAAAGCACCAGTGAGTGTACTTAATATATACGTACACACATATAAAACATACATATACATATATACCATATGTACACATATACACACACACACACACACACACACACACACACACACATTATATGTATATATATTTCTCTCCCCAAAAGTAAAGAATGAGATCTTTGAAGTTTTCTAACTGGGTAGATCAGTGATGGCGAACCTTTTGAGCTCGGCATGTCAGCATTTTGAAAAACCCTAACTTAACTCTGGTGCCGTGTCACATAGAGAAATTTTTTGATATTTGCAACCATAGTAAAACAAAGACTTACATTTTTGATATTTATTTTATATATTTAAATGCCATTTAACAAAGAAAAATCAACCAAAAAAATGAGTTCGCGTGTCACCTCTCACACGCGTGTCATAGGTTCGCCATCACTGGGGTAGATGTTAGAATGTATGGAATTTTTGGTACCACAGAGAATACTTACACCAAGTTTACCAAGGCGAATACCCCACTGGGCATCAGTACTGAGTTCACGAAATCTGAGCTCCATTTCTGTTTCGTGATAGAGACTGGCCAGCTGAGAGCCCACCAGAGATATTGCCTAAAAAATGAAAACAAGTAAAATTCAACTGCACACAGAATATGTTCCAACACCTTTTAGATGAAAACCAACAATAAAAATCATAACCTTTCTTTGTGCTAATAATGTGACATGCTATATATTGCTCTGTACACAGTCATTGCTTATACAACATTCAGGTCATTCAGCTTTTGGCACGATGCCATCAATTTAGCCTGGCTTTCCTTCATAAGAAAAGACCAAATTGTAGTTATCCTGCAAAAGCAACTCCCCCTTCCCCAGGGCAAATTTTAAAACACACACATCAAAGAGAAATTTTGCATCAATTAAACTTTGTCCTACAAAAAAGAACAAGGTCATAGCTCAAAGGACTCCAATACACTAGAGTAAGCATAAGAAATGAGGTCTATGGCTGCGTACAGATTTTAAGAAATAAAACATTGTAATTCTTTTGGTTGAGCAATGCTTAGAACCTGCATACATTCACCGAAGTGCCACTAGTCAAGCAAAAGCTGGTAGAAACCAAGTGAGGTAGTATAACATTCCTTCTGTGAAATCTTAAGATCTGATGGCAAAGCCAACTTCTTTTCCCCCTAAATCTTCAATATTT